TGGTATCTCATATTATAAATTTCTAAATCCTAGGAAGAAAAGCTTGTAGTGCTTCTGAATATAGAGAAGTTCCATTTAAGGGCAAAGTTCCTCTTGTAGACATATCAAAATATTACAAATTCTAAATTGAGACTTATTTCTCAAATGTGTTCTACTTGTTCTAAAACAGTCTGTCCACAAATATAAAACTATAAGTAATAAATTGTTATTTTCACACTATGGGAATCTCTAATGTGAAAATGTATTCTATGAAAATAATTTTTTAAAAAATAAAATGTATAATAAAAATGTATTCTATGCTTTTATATATTAGCTGTCACTGGTTTTATTCATTAGAATTAGGTGTCTGTTGCATCTGCAGCATGAAAAAAAAACTGAGTGTTTAAATTTCCTTCTGGGGCTTAGCAGTTAGGTAAATCAGACACAAAGTACTGGAAAACAAAAGGACTTACAAGTTATAGGCAGAAATATACCAAGTATAAATAGTTTGGAATAAATAAAGTATAAGATTTAGTAGTAGGAATAAGAATTATGTCCAGATTATGGTGTTCTGTGAATATCAGCCTTTGGAATTCTGGAATTATATTTGAATACCAGCCTTTGGAATTTTGGAATTATATTCTATGTATATCTAGTCTGGTCTAAGAGTTGAGTGTAAGGCATGATGCTTTCTTCTAACAATATAGAGTAACTGGGACTTAGCACATTTCACTCCCCAAGGACCTTACTGGGAAGCTGAGGCAAATGAAGAATATGTGTTCATGAATGTGTACTAAGGGTGAAAGACATGCTCTCCTTAATGTGCCTGTGGTCTTGTCGGAGACTCAAGTGTGCATTAAGGGCTTAGGAAGAGGTGATTAATTTTTGGGGTGGGTGAAAGGTTTCAAAAGGCAGTGATGCCTAAATAGCCATGGCACACCAAGAGATAGTGGTGGTGGGACCAGTCATCCTGATGGGAGAGAATATATAAATATTCTGACATTGTTTAGAATTGCTGGTGCTTGATGATGATAAAAAGCAAATTGACTAAAAGTCAATTGTATTGTTTTAAAATTCTCTATAGACAATGGATCCCCTCCCCACCTTGTAGCGTCATTACTTCCCTCCCCTAGCTCTCAGTATGCCACTACTGCAGAGTGGAGTGATGAAATGGAGTCTTCCATGAAGTCAAAATGGGGATGGTAGTGACTCTAGACATTATGGGAATCCTGTAGCTATCTCCAATATCATCAGATCTAATACCATCAGATCCTAGATATAGAAGGCTGTCTAGTGGTAATAAGCTTCATTAGATGGTGAACAGAGAAGTTTGAGTGGAGGCTGGTTAGGTACTGCCTGCCGCATGTCCCAAGTGGTTTGGTCATTAGGGTGGAGCTGAGCTGTCTGGGAAATCAGTAGGTTGCTATGAACTGCTGGAAAATGAGGCAAGATTCAGGAAGGGTGCTGTGGCTCATGCCTGTAATCTCAGCATTTTGGGAGGCTAAGGCAGTAGGATTGCTTGAGGCCAGGACTTTAAAACCAGCATGGGCAACATAACAAGACCCATGCATAACATACAATCAAACAAACAAAAAGATTAGTCAGGCATCATTAGCAGTGGCATGTGCCTGTAGTTCTAGCTACTTGGGAGGCTGAGGTGGGAGAATTGTTTGAACCCAGGAGTTTGAGGTTACAATGAGCTATGATCACACTACTGCATTCCAGCTTAGGTGACAGAGTGAAACCTTGTCTCTTTAAAAAAGAAAAAAAAAAGCCAAGGGCTAACAGCAATAGCAGTTTCTGAAGGTAAGCAGGACATGATCGGAACTGTGCTCTAGAAATAATTTGGGCCGGGCGCGGTGGCTCAAGCCTGTAATCCCAGCACTTTGGGAGGCCGAGGCGGGTGGATCACGAGGTCAAGAGATCGAGACCATCCTGGTCAACATGGTGAAA